GGGGGGGGGGGGGGGAGTAGGAGAAAAAACCTGTTTAAAAAGATTGTGAATACTTATACTGCTTTTTCTTTCCAATCTAACAGCAGGAAACTGCATACTTTTTAGCAGCTTACACAAGTTTTACTGCATGTGTAGACAACAGCAGAGCCAAGATTCTTCATAGGTAGCTAGGTCTAATGGTAATAATGGAAACTTCTATTTCTCTAGTGCCCTTTATCCAAGAATCTCAAAGCATATTAAAAAGTATCAATCACAGCTCAATTCTCCTGAGATGTGAGGTATTTCATCTGTTTTAGAAAATCAACCAAAAGGTACAAAAAAGGTAAGAGACTTGCTCAGGTTTACACAGGCAGTCAGCAATAAAGCCAAGAATGGAGGCCAGTATTCTTAGGGCCAGAGTTTTAGAAATATTTGGGTGCCTAAATACTTAGTGGGATATTTAAAGCACATTGGTGCCTAATCCTAGCTGAAATGAATGGAGGTTAGATGCTTACACAATGCCACTGGGTGCCTAATAGGGCTGGCTGTGTGAAGCTTCAGTCCCTGATTCGATTCAGCAGAGATTTGGCCCAATTCAGCGGCCAAATCTCTGAATCCGAACCGAATCAGAGGACCCTTTAATCTCTCCAAATCAAATCAGAACCCTCCGAATCGATTCGGAGAGATTCAGCGATTCGACCACAGAGACAGTTTTAAATGTTTTTTCTACATACCTCTAAGTGGCAGGGGCTCATGAATGCTGTGATGCTGGGGTGGATGGAGTGTCCCACAGAAGCATGGCGGGGCCCCCAGCACGCTCAGCAGCAGACCCAGAAGTGGACAAGAAGCACTTCCTGTCCACTTCTGGGTCCACCAGGAAGCATGCAGGGGGGGCCCCCGATGCCCCTCCAGTTCAGTGACTGGTGCCTCCTGGGTTTGGGGGGGACACCCAGGCTCCCTCTGTGACCAATTGCGGAGTCAGAAGGCTGTGGGGGGGGCCCCCTGTGCTCTCCCCAGCAGACCCAGAAGTGGACCAGTCCACTTCCAGGTTCACCACCAAACACATGGGGGGACCGGACCCTCCCTGCACTCCTGTGGGATGCTCCATCTACCCCAGCATCGCAGTGATCATGAGCCATGCCTGATACCTCAAGGTATGTAGAAAAAACTTTTAAAGATGTGTCTATGTCCGAGTCGCTGATTCTCTGAATCCACATTGAATCTTCAGATTCAAATTCAGCCGAATCAAATCAGGGACAGTGATCTGAATCAACTAATCGAATCACTGTCCCCTATTCAGGCTGAATCTGAATCAAATAGGGCCCATTTGCCACACCCCTAGTGCCTAATACTTGAGAAATGCTTCTGAATGCACTTAACTGACAGCATACCATGATCTATGACTGAACAAATAATTAGATGTTAAACAGTAAAATATCCAGGTGCAAAGATAAATGCAAACATTTCTAGCCAAAACCCCAAATGTTAGCAGTCTCTGACATGAGAAGTATACAGATCCTGAAATAGCAATTTCTTGGCTTAATCTAATGTTAAATTAAGCAGTTTAGAACTCAAAATGAGCCTGCCATACTGGCAACAGAGGCACCATGAACTACAGCAGTGCAGCCTTGCCTGTAACATTATTGTATGATGTGAACCAGGGAGACAGATTCCTTGGTTGGAAGGCAACTTTCATGAAAGTCAAAAGAAGTTGAAATTGTTCAACCACCTTTTGGACTAGGGTTTTTTTGGAGGATACAAACTTCTGTATGGGTGCAAAGTATTAAGCAGGATCATCTTGTACTTAAGATGTCAGACTAAAGCTCATAAGACCCAAGTTCAGTTTCTGGTTCTGCCAAAAGCTACCTGAGTGACCTTGAGCGAGTCACGTGGGGTGCTAACACAAATGACATTTTGTCGCATGATCAGCCACTGAAAGTGCTCCACAGCCATGCCCTTGCAGAAGTTCATAGCTGCAGAGTGCTTTAAAGGGCCCAATCCCACAATAATATGAACCTTCATTATATGAGGGTTCAGATGAAGGCACTCTGAAGTGGCCTGCCTTCATTAACTTATGTCATCATGCTCCAGGAGCAGGGCAGTGCAGCCCTGCTCCTGGTGCTGTTTTCAGAATGGGGGGGGGAGGGGTGAGAGGAGAGAAAAGTGGAGAGAGCTTGTTCTGGGGGTTTCCCAGCTAGCACTGAAGGGTGGGGTGGGTGAGCTGGAGCCCTCCCACCTCAGGGGAGCTCCAATCCCCCATCCCACCCTCCAGCACCAGCTGGCCAACCCCCAGAATGAGCCACCTCCACTCCCTTCCCTCCCTCCCATTCTGAAGACAGTGCCCAGGCTAAGGTGGGGAGAAGCAGGGCTAAGGGAGAGTGGCTTCAGACTCACAGCTTCTCTAAATTGCAGCTCAATCCCCTAACCCCCAGTATGGAACAGCAAACATCTGTTGGGTCTATAACTCATGGCATTTCCTGTGAAGCGCTGTGAGTTACAGTGGGGAACCACACTTCTGTCTACGCCCTTGGTCTGTATAAAGTGATCATGTGTGTAAAGTGAGGGTATTAATAGTCTTTCCTACTTCACAGAGTTACTAATAGCAGAACTGTTTGTTAGGTACTTTAATGCTATGATTAAGGGAATGAACAGGGACATAGGCAGACAAATGCTTCCTTACCTGTAGCTCTGGTTTTCCATCAATATAAACTGTATTGTTGTTAACCATTTCCACTATGGCAACACCCAGATTACACCTAATTCCAAAAGAAATACAGAAGCCCAGGCCACTCATTATGGCGATGATATAGCGCTTGGGCAGTCCACAGCAGTAGCAGCCAAGCAGGGGAGATTTGTGAGTGGTTGCTTGCACAGGCCTTCCTTCTTCAGTTAGCTCAATGTGGTCTTCCTCTGCATTGGTGCCATCAAGCTTCCTAAAAATGCAAGATGGTAAAAAGAGAAATTAAAATAAATGAAAGATTCCATCTATAAAATTTGCTGACATGGGCATGGCAGCAACACATTCCTCACAACCCCCATGGCTATGTTCTTTTTATCTCTTAGTATAGAGTAGTGCATTCAAAAATCAGTTCCACTTTTAAAGAGATGAATCTTCCAACACTACTTGAGATATTTCAGCATGCAAACTTCCATGTTTACAGGTCTGAATCAGATAGCAGGACATCAGATTGGCATGCCAGGAATGCTTGTGGGAAAGAAAACTGTATTGAAGTCATTAGAAATTATAAATAACACCATCAATCAGCGGAAAAAAAACACATTGGTAATTAGAGCAGGGCTTATTTTTTCTTTCTGGAGAAGTAGTACATTTCTGAAAAATGGCCTTTTACTTATCCCAAAACTACTTGTGAATTTGTGTCTAATCCATCCGTTTCAGCTAGGGAAAAAATATTTAGAGTTAGATTGCAGATACAAGAGGGATCAACCGTTTACATCTCAACATCTCAGGGGGTTATAGTACTTAGCTAGGGTGTGGGAGACTCGGGTTCAAATGCCTCCACTACCCGAAATGATTTAAACCATAATAACACAGGAACTACCATTTAGTGGATATGACAATAGATCCATCTTGCCCAGTATCCCATGTCACACAGTGGCAGAGAGTGGATGCTGAAAGTGAAGGTAAATGAGGTATAACCAGGGTTTTTTCCACTGTTCCTCTCTCACTTGTAGCCCCCAGAATTTAAGGTCTAGCAAGTTCTGATTCAGAAGCCATGCCCTTAACTCCCATGCTCAATAACTACCAATGCACATTTCTTACAAGAATTTGTCCAGTACTTTTTTGAATCTGATTAAACCACGTCTGGACAATTATTTTGGCTGGAGTACCACTTCAGGAGTTTGAGTAAGCTGGGTCAGCACCCCCCACCCCACCAACAGCTAACCAAAACTCCCTAAGGGGCCCTCTGTGCGCTGGGATGAGGCCACAGGCAGGTGGAGAGTAGCATCTAGTAGTGGGATGGGCAGGTGAGTGTCAGGGCCAGGGCTAGAAATGGGATTGTGAGGTAGTGACAGCAGGGGTACAGGGCCCAGGGCAGAGCTATGATCCTCTCCCCACATATCCCTGAAATGGGTGCCAGCTCCATAGGCAGCGGTGGGGTGTGTAGGGAGTGGATCACAGCTCTGCTCTGGGCTGTGCTCCATGCTGTCACAGTCCAGTGATCCCAGGGCCTCCATGGAGACTGGCTGGGACCTGTACAGGCAGGGCGCCCAGCCAGGCAGATGGGATAGGGCCATGGGCAAGTGGGGAGCCATGTCTAGGAGCAGGACAGGCGGATGGGGCTGGGGATTGGGATGGTGACAGTATGAGATCTGGGCAGAGCCACGATCCAATCCCCACACACTGTTGCCCACAGAACAGGTGCCCATCACAGGGACGTATGGGGAGCAGATCCTGCCTCTGCCCTTGGCCCCACACTGTCACTGCCCTGTGATCCCAATCCCAATCCCCAGTCCTGCCCACCTGTCCCACTCCCAGGCACCCTATCCCATCTACTCGGCCATGCACCATGTTTATGTGGGTCCCAGCTGGTCACCATGGAGACCCTGCCTGCTTCCTTGGTCCAGCACCCCCAGCAGTCAATGCGGGGCAGACGGGTCAGGGTGCCTGGACAGCACGTTGGGTCCGGCAGCAGCAGCCGGGAGGAGCCATTGCTGGGGCTGCTGGGAAATAGAGTCCAACCACTGTGTCACCCCAGCCCTGGATTGGCCCCCCCACACACACCTGGGGTAGGCAGTACCAAGGGACGTGCTGCAGGCTGGACAAAATGCCTTGGCAGAAAAAAATCGAACCCGCAGGCCATATTTTGCCCACCCCTGGGTTAAACAGTTAGCTTCTACAACATCTTGTGGCAATCTACACTTTAATTATACACTGTCCACATCTAAACAAGTTGCTGACTGTGCAGTAGCTCATTACTACTGTGCAGTAGCATCATGTGGCATGAAGCATGATGTGATGCTACTGCGCAGTATTAACAAGCTACTGTGCAATCAGCACCACCTAAAAGCTGTTCAGTGACACTAATGCACAGTAACTCCGGTTACTGTGCAGTCATTCAGTACTTGTTTATACAAGTATTGAATGACTGCACAGTAATGACTGTGCAGCCAACATCTTGTATAGATATGGCCACTGTGTAAAAGAACTTATTTTTGTTAGTTTTAAGCTTACTCTCTACTAGTTCCATTTTAGGACCCTTAGATCACATATTGTGAGATAGCAAATAATAAACCCTACTTACTTTCTCTTCACCATTTAGTATTTTGTAAACCCTTGTCATGTCCCCTGTCAAGCATCTCTTTTCTAAATTGAATTGGCTTAGCTCCTTTAATCTCTCCTCATATGGAAGCCCCTCCATACCACTAATCATTCTTGTTGCCCTTTTCTGTGCCTTTTCCAGTTCTTCTATATCTTCTTCTATATCCTTTTTGAGGTGTGTGGACCAGAACTGGACACAATATTCAAGATGTGGATGCACCATAGCTTTATACAGGGGCATAATGATGCTTTCATTTTATTATTTTTTACAATTTCTTTCTTAATAATCCCCAACATTTTGTTTGCCATTTTTAGAGTTGTTGAGCATTGAGGTGATGCTTTTAGCTATCTGTGCACAATGACTCCCTAATCCCTTTCCTGTGCGGTAGCAGCTAATGTAGAGCCCATCAGAGTATAGGTATAGCTTGGGTTACTTTGGCCATGTGCATCACTTTACATTTACTTACATTGAATATCATTTGGCAATTTAGTTGCCCAGTTAGTCAATAGTGCCAGATCCTTCCGTAGTTATTCACAATTCACTGTGGTCTTTACCTCTTTGAATAATTTTGTGTCATCTGCAAATTTGGCCACCGCACTACTCACCCCTTTTTCCAGATGACTTATGAATATTTTAAACAGCATTGATCACAACACAGGTTTCTGGTGGATCTTGCTGTTTACTTCTTTCCACCCTGAAAATTGACCATTTATACTCACTCTTTGTTTTCTATCTTTAAGCCAATTTTTAATCCATGAGTGGATGTTCCCTGTAATCCCCTGACTACCTAACTTTCTTAAGACATACCTTTCCTATTTTCTAAGTGACTGTTTTAGCCACTAGCATATAATCTATTCCAGGGGTGACCAAACCACAGCATGCTACAGGCGGCAAAAGCAGCTGCTGTGTGTGGTATGTGAGTCCCAGACATTTAGTAAAAAGAGGCACCACATATTACTAGGAGCAGCATGTACTACTAGGAGCCAGGTTAATCCTTCCCTGGCCCTGAAGCCACCACCAAATTCAGGGCTTTGGATCCTTGCTTGCCATATAAAACTGCAGCAGTTGAGGTCCAGATGAGGGTTAACCTCACTCTTGGCAGTAACGCTCTTATAGCATCATCCTGCCTTCACTCTTCTCCATGTGGCCAGAGATTTGAGCCCCTCTGCCTCCCTTTGAAGTGACTTAAGGCACAAACTCTATCAGGTGCATCTCTGGGAGGAAGAGGCAAATCTGAGTAGCACTTGGTGAGGAGACAATTTATGACACGCATACCAAAAAGTTGGCCACCACTGGTCTAGTCACCCCTCCTATGGAAGGTGTTCTACTCTGTATAAATACAAGTATTCATTTATGTAGAAACCATGAGAATAAGGATCACTCTCTAGCCTGGAAGTTTAGATACTCACCTGGATCCCAGTCCTTGTTCAAGTGAGCATTTATATATACAAAGCAGAGATTTCAAGCAGCCTACCCCTAAAACACTCCATAGTTTTGCAATTAAGGCACTGTTCTGAGAAGTAGCGGGGAGAATCCAACACCTCTCACCCACCTCTTGTTACACTACTGGTCATAGTCTTTATTTTAACAAGGAGTATTTCTGATAGGACTGATAGTGTCAGATTAGAATGAACTTGAAGCAGTAGCATAACTAAGGGGCAGGGGAAGAGGGGAACCAGGGCAGCAGGATGGGCTCTCACTGGAGCTGCCGTTCAGCTGCCCCATGCACTGCTATTGCCCATGGTGAGGAGCTCCCCTGATACACCTCTGACTTGAAGAGCAGCTGAGTATCGCCCTTGTTATGCATCGTTTTAAAATGGTGAATTCGGACATTAGGCTTCAATCCACCAGAATGCAGCGCAGACTTAACTTTTGTATAAAGGATAAACCCACTGAAGTCAATGAGACTACTTAAATTTAAACATAGGATTAAGCACATCACTGAATCAAAATGTTAGTCCACTGCTACAGTACAAAGCCTTTCTGTTTATATTATATGTTACCTGAAAATCTGCTCTGAAGAAATGGAGTCAGAAGAGAATGCCTTTGTTCCTGTTATTGTGAGTAACACAAAATTATGAGCTGAACTACTGACGCTAAGAGAACTGAGCTGCTTTACGAAGACATGACACGGTTTAATTAACTCTTTATGATAAAGAGTTTATTCATACTTTCTCTCAGGACTCTGGCCTGAAGCATAGCTGTAATATATTACTGTTCAATGTTACCTTTTTAATATCTACTATTGTAGGTGTCCTTTAATTTAAAACAATGACAGAAGAGAAATTATTTCAGTCATGAGTCATCTTACGTCAAAGAGATGTTCGTGGCAATACTTGAGACATGACTAGTCTATAGCATTCATTAGCCTTTTGGGCAGCATCCAGACAAAAGCAGATGTGTCTCCCCGGGGACAGGTAGCAGCAGCACACTTTGTGCCACTGCTACTTGTCCCGGGGAACGCCTGTGCCACACACACCCTGGCGCACAGGGAGTTGCCCTGAGCGGGGTAGGGGAGGCTGAGGCCAGAAACTGTGCTGGCCCAAGAAGCCCTACTTGGGGTCCTGGGGGCCCCCCGGGGCTCCAGCCACAGCAGGAAGCCTGGCCAGCAGGTGAAGTATGGCTCCAGCAGGCCAGGCTCTGGTTTTGGG